CATTTGAACCTCCCTTGGATAATATCCAACAAATGGATCGAAAAAAGTTCTTCCATACTTGAGAAATTCACTATTTATAAATATCTCCTTGGTTTAAAACGATCGTTGTAAGATGGCACGAGAAACATGCACGTTGTACTTTTGTAGTAATGCTCAACAGAACTCCGATCATAGTGCTCGCTACTCATAAATTATGTACGCCTCCATTTTCCCATGTAAGGTACTAGGCCCTTTCAACGTTGAACGCCAATTTAATATTTGCTTTACACTAATGACACAAGCAGATGTTGCATTCGACCACGTTCTCGGCCTGCTTCCAATATCCATTCAGAATATTATATATTTTTAATATATGACAGTCACATAATTTCCCCGTAATTAAACGCAATTTGCTGAAAATATAGTTTCCGTTGGGATTTAATCTTTCCCTTTACACGCTTCTACCACACCCGTTTTTGTTTTGCTTATAAAGTTTTCCGCGCACGTTTCCACCGAAAGAACCTAATACTGTGCTAGATATAGTTAGTTCAATACATGTTTTTAATTTCGTAAAGGTTTCTTAAATGGCGTTTCATTAGATTGACTTTCGCAATATTGACCGAAGCGCAAACTTTCCTCCTTTAATAAATTCCCCTTTGTGTTTACACAATTCCTATATATTTATAAGATAAATGCCCGGTAATTTTTCGTTTTTCAGTAATCGGAGATACCAGGCGCTGATAAATTCGCGCGCGGTGCGGAAGGGGTGAAATTTCATACTCTCTCCACGACTAGTAGGATCGTCTATCGGGGTTTAATTTCAAGAGCTTCTTAAGAATTACATTGTATTATACTTGAGGGATCGTTAATTAGGACCGTTATTATTTATGTAAAATGTAGGTATAATGAGATAATTTGCCACAGAGTTGAATAGTAAAAAAATTGAGGCGAACTCAGGTCATTAATTAGCGAAATGGTTAGAATTCAACTCCAATTTAATTACGGTTTTTCTTTCAACACTTGAATGAGAGAGTAAATCGTTTTATTATTCTATTTGATTAGATTAATGCTAAACATGAATTTTTAATTGCAATGTAGAGGTTGTGTAATTTATATCTGTTTTAGTGGTAGCATAATTATTGATCATTATATGTGCACCCATTTAGCAGTTCGTAGAGAACAACCTCAAGCTGTCTCGTCTCGTCAAGTATGTATGTGCGAAAATTTGTTTTAGGGGTGAATGGTCGAAGTCTGACAGAAAATTCCTTTTAGATATAATATATTTACAAACTAATAGCTGTGGTACCCTTCGAAGTACTCCGTTTAGACAACAATACAAGGTACTAAATTTGACGACATGAATTTTCCTTCTGCGATTTCCTTGTTAGCTAAAATAGGGGCGAATTGTGAATGAACTGCATGGTCGAACTTTTTGACACCCCTTTAATTTTTTGACACCGACGTTCATCTGCAGTAAGTACCTTGTCAACACCGTTCAAATGGAATGGAAGTTTAGAGAGAATGTCAAACTCTCACCGTTCTTCTGAGTAGGTTTCTGGAATTGATACTCAACTCCATATCCAAATTAACAGTCATCTAGGTGATTTTCCCAATTACAGTTTTTCGAAGTCCTGAAATACCAATTCCAACTTAAATAGCTTTGAATTAATAATTTCTTTTTTGCACGATCGGGCGTCTTTGCCATCTTACAAGATATGACAGGAGGGTTGTAAGTCATACTTACCGCCCTAGACCCGTTAGATCTAATACGTACTAATAATTGCTGTGTAACTGCCAATTTCCCTTTGAAATTATGTAGTTTCAGCATTGCGAAGGGATTATTTTAATACAGAGAAGTTAACCGCACAAAATTGCTTATTTGCCAATTTATTAAAAGTTTTGCGGGATCCCGCTAATATCGGGAAAGAGATTTTGCTGCGGGATTGCATTCCCTAACTATAAGTATAAGACATGTTTGCAGAATTAAAAGAATGATACAACGTTCGTTGTTGCTTTTGACTCCATTAACAAGTTTATATGGATGCCATTGCAAATAATACGTTGCTTAAAACTTCAATTATGCAAGATGCTCAAAAAGATATCCAAGTTGCCCTTTAGTATACAGTAAGTTTTTTTTTAAGACTGGCCATAGAATTTCGCATGTTAATTTTTCAACCCCCTGTTACCGTTTATTTTTGTGAAAATTACAAAGCCTAGCGCTGTTATTTTATTAAATATTAACGCTTTCTTTCTAGTTATTTACTTCATTTTGTGGAGTAATACTCTGTATAAAGCGAAATTTTCCTTTTCTTGTGAAGTTGAATCATTACAAATTTCAGATCAAAATTTAGAAATAATGGTCAGCCTACTAAAAATTTAAATATGAAGCAAACAAAATTATAAGACATCTTTTTGCTAGGTTTTCCTTCTACAAAACTGTGTTGAATATGTTCCTGAAGACAAACGTTAACAGGGGCTTAAAAAATTAGCATGTAAAATCCTATGGCTAGTGTTAAAAAACTCACTGTATGCACTAAATTGATGTTGTGCAAGTAGAACAATTTAGTTAGTTGAATGCCAGGCACAATACTTCCAAATTAGAGTATTGAATCTAATTCAGGTATTTTGTCAACATATCTAATCATATTTATTAAAAAGTAACATAAACATATTTAAATAAATAAATAAATAAATAAATAAACAGAAGAGGTTTCTAGAGACTTTTTTGGCCAATCGATTACGTTTACAGGAAGAAACGATATTTAAAAGAATTCACATTTTTAATTGCAATGGTTGAGGTTGATAATGCGGTATTTATATACGGGTGCCCGTTATGTATGGAATATAGTATAATATATCGGTAAACATCGACTTTATAAAAAATTGTATATAAAAGTTGTTTAACATTTTATTTTCCATAATATGATAGCATTCAATTTTTTTTATTTCAGTAAACAAATCAGTAACGAATAACACTTTTTTTTTAAATAGCAATGTACCCTTTCATTAGGCTCATTTGATAGAGATTTTTTTCTTTTTTCGTTAAGACAAAATTCCCTTATACTAAAAAATTCTTGAAAAAATGTAAAAAAACTGTTACAAGTTAATTTTATCATTAACATCAATCTAGTTCACCGAGTTCTCTTTTGTTTGTCTTAACAATTGAATGTAGATCATTAATGTGCCTGAAGCTTGGTTATAAATAAATAAGTTGGCGCATCGAAAAATAAAAATGGTTCATTTAACAGAAACTAAACGCATACAAACTTTAATTATAGTTGATCATGGAGATCGCAAACGAACAAAATTAGAAGTATGTGAAATTTTTAATGAGCGTTATCCAAATCGAGAATTAGCCAGTCAGTAGTTAGCAAAACTTTTTTTATTTCCGTAAACAAATGAGTAACGAATCACACTTTAATTTTTTAGATAATACAAAATTAGCAATAAAAGGTTTTCATGGTAATAAGTGTTGAAAACGGTCGCCATTAACTGCAAGGCAGTGGCCCAACCTACCACGTGAAGCTTGCAAATAATTTCTGAGCAACCTAGGAGAAATTGCTGCAGCTTCAGCTTATATTCGGTGCTCTAATTCGGCCAGATTCTGAGGTCGCGGTTTGTATATCCCCAGAAGAAGAAATCGCAAGGTGGAAGAGGAGGCCACTCCACCTGTCTCTCCAAATACCACATATAAATATTGCCTTGTTATTGAAAATAAAATGTTAAACAACTTTTATATACAATTTTTTTTATAAAGTCGATATTTACCAAGATGTGTGCTATATTCCATACATAATGGGCACCCTGTATACATATACACCAAGTTAGTTACGTTAGTGTATAAATGATGCACTTAAAAAAATTAACACTCAAGAGAGTTTCATGGAAACCGAATCTGCATTTTAGCAATTTTCGAACGCTTCCATTCCATGCTATTACAAAGCTTCCTAACGTCGATTGCAGTGCACGCTAATAGCTTTGTAGGAGCTTGCATTCATATAATCAGCGTGTTTTAATTTTGTTGCTAAAAGTTTTCTGGTGTATATATTAATCCCGTTCAGATGTAGGAATTGATAAATTTCCCGTTCGGATAAAATACATCAATTTTTAAACAAGACTTTTGCATTGACGTATAAACCAAAAAAGGTTCACTTTTTAAATAAACGTTTTATAAAATAATGGGTAAGGGATCGAATCTCGATTTCCGATCTGTAATGCCGAAAACACTTAAAGGTTGCTGAAAATGATCATAAAAATGCGCCTATTACGTCATGAAAACAGGGGCGCTGCATATTTAATAGCCGTCTTACACCTCATAAATGTTGGTATGAAATTTGAATGGTAGGTATAACGCAACATTTATCCCAAGTTAAATTTTGGATTGTTTTGATAAGGGCTAAAGCAAACTGCTAGATATACGTAACTAATTTAGTGTGGCATGGAAGGGTTTGCCGTACGTAACAAGTTAATGAAATTAAGAACGCTTTCGGTTTTTCGAAAAGTTATTTAAGACCAACTTCTTGTACGTAAATTTCCAATACGAACGGATAATAGTTTTGTATGTGAAAAGCTAAATTTTGTTTATCGGTGTAGAATTGCAATTACCACTAGCCACCCGATTGCTCTTTGATTAGTTTTAAATATTGGCATCTGCGCCATATTCGACTTTGATGATCGCGAAACAAAAAAAATCGTTTGAAGTTGCAAAATGAAAAACTTTCAAGTAATTACAATCTCGGCTCATTACAAAGACAGAGCGGCATCTATGGTGATTTATATTGACGTAGCAAAAAAATCTGAACGTTGCAATTGAAATCACTATCAAACACTTAATTTTTGCTAACGATGCTTCCAAACAAAATTCAATCCAAAGGCAAATATAAAATGAAACCCCTCGAAGCTCACATAATCAAACCCTCGTTCGTACAGTGTAGTGCTAAATGGGGTTCCGCCCCCCTAGCAGGTGGCGAGCGGCGCAAGCTCGGCGTCGGGACGCTCAGTCTCACAGTAGCACAGACCAGTATCGGGCGCATCATGACGGATAATTTAATGTAAAAAAAATTCGCCGCGGATACAGATGCTGCACCATCTTTTACAGTTTCAATGTGAGCGATAATCGATAAATTCATTAGCCACCTCTAAAGCGCTAGTTACGTGCCCCGAAAATGCCCGTGTGTTCCTAAATCCTCCGAGAACAGCTGATAAATCTCGGCAGGTTAACGAACTGGACCATGTTCGTGTTGTTGCTCCTTGTGACAATCACTACAGGTAACAATTAAAGTTTTTGTCTGTTTAGATTATAGCAGATCCGATTTCGAAATTGCGCGTGGGTACAAAATGCCAATCGGAGAGCTTTCGCCTCTTGACATGTACCTACATAAATTAGGTACAGTGCGTTTACATATCTAATTATCTGCCGGTAAATGCCTCTGCATGTTCGTTGGATTGTCTGATTAAAATTGCTTCTGATCGACGGAAAACTAGGTAATGTACTAGGTATAATACTCTTCCCGCGCATTTAAGGGTATAGTTTACTATTATAGATAATTGAAAAATTCAGAAAAAACTAAACCCCTGCGTCAGAAAAACTGATCTGAACTTCACGCTAAGAAGTGGAGAACGGTAGAAAAAGTTGTAATCCCAACGTCGCTTCCCGCTTTTAATTATTTTATTTGTTACTCAGTTGTAAACGTTGATTAACAAGACAAAACGCAAACGGGTAAACGTCATGTTTAAACGCTACTGACTTGTAAAACTGACAGCAGACCTGTAAAACTGACAGCAGACCTGTAAAAATTTTACAAGTTAGTAATCTAGTAATTTCATTGGCCAGAATTAATGCGAAGTCTCTGTTACATGGATCACATGATATTTTAGACATTTCTTCAAGATTAATTTAAGAACTAATTATTTAGCGTTTACTATTGTTTACAAATGAGTAACAAATAAAATATTATACATTATACGCCAGGTAATAGTTTTTACTGGCTCTTGGAGATGACAGGCTCGCCTAACGGCTCGCCAGTCAACTTCTCCTATCGCCAGTAAAAACTCACTTACCTGGCTAATAATGTAAAATACTATTATGCTGCCTGCGAAACACGGCGACTTAGAAGTCATTTAAGATTCATTGAAAAGTACTAGCAAATTGCATAAATGTTCTTATTGAATAGTCTAGTCCAATAGTACTGGTAGTATACGGTTCTTTACAAGTTTAGATTTTCCAAACAATGATGAAAATGCAATACATCATTATTTACTCTATTTGTTACTTTTCTATAACCGGCAGTAAATTCCACAAAACGTCAACTGGGAAATGTCATCTTATGGCTACTAACACTTTGAACTGACAGCTCACTAATATTGATGTGATAAAAAGAATGATCCATTAATATCGTGTCCGAAAGACAACTGTCGGTTTTGTCTTTTGCCCCATTTAAATGCACAATGACAATGACGTTCCAATATCCATATCTCGTCTCATTTGGCAGTTAAAACCATTTCGTCTTGGCCATTCAGTTACATAGCTAGCATTAAACTGATTTCTCACAGTAACAACCAACTAAAAATTTTAAAAAATGCTGAACAACCAAACATTGTATTTATAAAAACCAAGTCAACCAAATTCGAGCCACAACACAATTATTCATATGCATTTTTACTTACACACAAGCACAACTTAATGAATTAATGAAAATTCACCACAAACATTTGCAACAATTCCGTTCCGTTTACCAAAACAAACTGTTAAATTCCATATGATTTTTATAACATGTGCGTTCATTTCGGGCCCTTTTATATAAAATAATCGAAGATCTAACCCGAGATTTAACTTTATGATCATGAACTATTCCTATAAATCGCAGGTTAGTGTTATCTCAATTGCAAATGTCGTTTTAATGACAAAATTAATTTGTCTTAAATTAATAAATTATTCCGCAATAATGAAGGGAAAACCCATATAAAAGAGCTCTGGTCGGTCCTCTTCAAATTCATCTTAGAATTGACACATTTTACAGCATTCCGCAACCTTAAAATTTGTTGAGTTCTTAAATTGACGTAAAGTTGAAAAAAGATTGATACGTCCAAAGTTTAACTTTATATATGTAGATTATTTTTATTCCTTGGTGACATTCGCGAAAGTAAAATTCAAAAGGATCGGTTTAGCATAAAATGTGACGATATTTCTAATTCTATTCATGTTAATATTCTTATCGATTTTATTGGTACGCATTTCGTTTCGGCAATGTGCAATATTATTTACTAAGTTGTAAATGGAATATCTGTTAATAATACTCTGAATTAATCGTTCGACGATAAAGGGATGTTTTAATGGTTAGTGTCTCTTTATCGTCGTGTATAATACAAAACATTATTTTATAGTAGAAGCCATATAAATCATTATAAAACTTTTGAAAATTCTGAATTTAATTTTAATTTAGCAAGTCGCAAGTTCGCTCGTCGTTTCCATGGAAACAATATTGTGTTCTGTTCTAAACTTGATTTCGTGCTCCGTTTCATTTTTAATAAGAATAACAGATACCATTCGAATGCACAACCACTTGTTTCACTTTATCTACCCTTCCGTTAAAGTGATCACTTTCTCTACTCTTACTGTTAGAGAATGTCAATTTAACTTCTGTGTAAAATATCCACTGAGCTACCCCACCCTGCACACAGTGTGTCTTCTGTTAAAATTGTTTCACTAGTGATAAAACCATTTACTTTGATAAAAATTGCAATGGAATTTGGGATATGATCATGCCACATTTTTTGCTTGAGGAACACTTTGCACATGCATATTTTAAAATACTAATTAAATACTAAATTATAGTTTTGCATATCTATTAATGGCATTTCGGTATGGAACGCATCAAAATAAGTTGTATTTGAGGAGAAACTATCTACAACGAAAGCTGCAACATAACATTTTAAGCGGTTGCTTCGACTGGAACAGAGGATTCATCCCCAATTACTGCATGCGATGCGGAAATGTTAAGGCAATATTATGTTCGATATTAAGGGCCCACCAAATCACGTCGTATTCAGAATCCTATGCAAAGGATGTATCAAAGATCTAATACAACCCTTTGATTGAGGTAGACGAGAGTATATTGGTAAGCTCACCTTAACCAAACAAAGAAATCTTCCTTGTATCTCGCAGGTCTTCCTTGAAGTACTTGAAATTCATTAAAGACTTTCATTTGCATAAAAATACTTTGATAATCTTTTATCTTATTGGAACTCTATCAGAAAATCTTGCTAGAAATCTTTTTCGAGATTCGAGAAAGCTCTTTAGTGATCTCAGAAGCTTTAAAAATCTTGCTTGAATCATCACGACGATTATAACCGAACTTCTAGTAATTATTAGATGGAGAAATTTTCGTTAAATGTTGACTGCACAGGCCGCCAGCAATGAATGCTGAATAAGAATTGAAGATCCATTTAATAATTAATTCTCTTAGTAAGAACAAATCGAGAACCAAACGATACTCTCTCAATTAAGAATAACTACCTAAAATAGGCGTATGGTTTTTCCCATGGTTTCACTGTATTATCGTAAACCAGTTCGACAATACGAAAAAGAAATTTTTGTCACATACGAGAGGCAATTAAAATGTACAAAATTAAACCTGATGATCCAGAGTTTAAATGGAAACCTTTCTGGCAAAACTTCTTAGAAGTGAACCCTTCTTATAACCTCGCTTTGAAATTCCTCTCGAAATGTTGAAATTTTCTGTCTGTAGGCACAGCATTACTGCTAAAGCGGAACGAGCCAATTGGTCATTGTAGATAATACCCACAAAATGCTTGATATTTGATATTTATCATATACATATACTATTTTAAATAAATAAATATGTCAGCTGACTATATCTCAGTGCGGAGAGTCAGTTGATGCCCTAAAGGGTGTAACGCAGGAGCCAGGCAATTTTCATTCGGGAGGAAATGAACTATTTTCTTTCTTTCAACGTGCACTGCCCAAACTGCAACTGACGCACTGGGAGCTTCATGATACAACTCTCTAAACCTTACAAGGAAACAGGAAATGAGATATACAAAGAGAGAGTTTTCGTATGCTGTTACTCATTTTTTTAAAATAAATTATAGATGATCAGTCCAATTATGCCAATTATTTCTGAAGGTCATTTTTCCAGATTTTTCCAATGATGTATCACAAGTCACATTTCAAAACTTAGACATGGGGCGGCGGGAGTACAAATTTGAGGGTGGTACCACACTTATATCACCCTTTTATAGTTTAACTCCCCCGCGAGTCGACAGTTTTGGCTATTATGTGATATATCCAATGAAAAAAAAGATGTACATTGAAAGTTTTAGAAGTATAATCCTGTAACATGACACTATCATATTTGAGATAAAATTTAGCATCTCCTATAGTTACTTGTCTGATGGGTGTAGATATAAGTGTGTCTCAAAAGCTTCTTCGACCGAGGTTTTAGGTTCATCATTACTTTTGTGTATGCTTCAAAGTACGTATGCCGACTTTCAGATTTGCAAATAAGCGTAGTTTCTCTTTATTTTTTTGTGAGAAAATAGGAAAAAGGTGTCGCCATTGCCGTTGTCTTCGTCCGTACTTTTTGTGATAGACCTCCTGGGGTACCTACATGAAAGATATATATACAATACATCCCGTAATGGAAAATTGATTCCTTCGCCTCGAAAATAAATGAGTACGCAGACACGGCCGATAATGTATGCAATTTTTGTATTTAGGAAAACATTTAGGTATACTACATTTTAACTATAACAGACATGAAGAAGTAACTCGCGATTGCTGCATTTGCCTTTGAATCGTGCTTTCACTTGAAAGTACAGCAAATAAAGTGGCATCGTAGAAATTCGATCGGTTTACTTAAAAACGCCTAACGAGGCTTTCGCGATAGACGTCTTTCAGTGCCTTATTCTAAGGTTCCGCAGAAATAAGCAGCATGAATTTTAAATAAGTTACTAAACAAAGTTCATTTGAAGGTTCGGCTTCCATAGATACCACGCACTTAGCAGTTATTTGAGTTAGAAACCTGACAGGTGTAGATCTGTATACCAAACGGGTACTAAATTGGAAAGTTCAAAGCTAAGAAATGCTGTCTGAAGGATCGATTCTTCGTTCAAACAAAGGCGGTATCTTTGGCACATCTACGAAATTGGTTTTCAGCCGAAACTCCGTGTAAGTGTTTAAATGGTTTAAATTCGGCAAAACTCAACGAACGAATATTAGCACGTTGAAGTTTCCTATCTGACGTAAA